GGTTGAGGGTTAAGGGTTCAGGGTTTAGAAGCCTAAATAATTACCAATACTATTATTTATTTATTATTTTTTTTTTTTTTTGGGGGGGGGGTACTAAACATAATTGTAGTATAAGGGCCATCCAAAAGCCTATTCTAATTGTTAAGGTCTCTATTTTAGGAGTTTAGGGTTTAAGGCGGTGTATTGTTAATTCGCTAACTAACCCAAAACCCAAAACCCTAAACCCACCCCTCACCTCTGAATCTGCCCTCAACTAAACCCAACGAAGCCTATTGTACCAAAACTCTAGTCACAAACCCTGATCCAAAAGAGCAACCTAAATAATGTAGGGGCCTACATACTTACCTATATTGTTTTGGTGGTTCCTTCATATAATTAGAGTATACTGGGCCCTAAAACCCAATTCTAATTATTGAGGCCCCTATATTATTCCGACCCTAAACCCTAAACCCTAAACCCTAAACCCTAAACCCTAAACCCTAAACCCTAAACCCTAAACCCTAAACCCTATGTTCCACCTAAGCCCGGCCAGGTCGCCCGAACAACCGGGGTCGCACGCCGCTCTTTGTCGCTGCATGCCGGAACCAGACCGATGCAGTGGGCTTTCTGGCGCCTTGGTCTGATTTAGACTTAGGGTTTAGGGTTTAGGGTTTTAGGGTTTAGGGTTTAGGGTTTAGGGTTTAGGGTTTAGGGTTTAGGGTTTGGGGATTAGCTTTTGAAGGTTAGGGCTTAGGGCCTTGGGTTCAGGCTGCAGGGTTTGGTTAGCATTTAGGATTTGGGTTTCAGAGTTCGGGTTTCAGGGCATATGTTTCCCGTGGTACCTTACTTGGGGGTGGCGCTTCTCGCAAGGATCCTATTAATCCTGCTATTTACTGGGTTATGTTATGGTCACTTGTTTTTCTGAGGGCTTCCAGAACTGATAGTGGCTATCATCAGTGCTCCTCCTCCTCCTCCTCGATCATCGTCATGACTATCATCATCGCCATCTTCATCACGATCAAAGCAATCAGAATGACCGTACGCATCACGAATATAAGGTGGCGACGCGGCTAGCAGATGTGTTGCTGTATTCCACTGTGCTTGAGCAGCATGCTGTTAGCAGCAGGCTGCTGTGTCGGAGTAAGATGATCGTATCATTCGGTGGTTGCAATTTCGACAACTGGTCCTTTCTTTATGACATTATTCATGTCGTGGCACTTGCGCGGCTAGGTAGTATCATGCCTTGTATTAGAGTTTCGGTGGGTTTACAGATGCAAAACCGAAACACTAAATCCTATTCCCCACAACCCCCAAACTCGAAACCCGAAAACCCTAAACCCAAACTCTAAACCCCAGACCTAAGCCCAAAACCCTCAGCGTGAACTCTGACCCAACTCGGTTTCGGCTTCAGGGTTTAGGTTTGGGGCATCCTAGATCTCCAAACCAGAAATCTTGCTATCCTAAACCTTTCTCACCCGAAGCAACCCTACAATATAAAGGGTTTGAATAATAGTTAGTAGGTTATCTTATTCGAGCGGTTTCATCGAGCCCTGTAGCAGGAACCCGATTCTAACTCTCCGTAGTCCTGAATCAGCTTTCCTTACTGAGTTCTGAGCCATGTCAGGTTTGGGCCCTGAACAGAAACCTTCTGGGACACCCTAAACACCTAAACCGTAAATCCAAAACCCTAAAACCCTTCTGGACCAAAACCCCTAAACCCAAAGTCCTAAACCCTAAACCCTTGTGGAAGCTGCAGTTGTGGCAGGTAAGGGCTGCTGCGGACCTCAATCGCCCGGACCGAGAGAACTGCACGGCCCTTCATGCATCTGCCCACGAAGGCGGATTGGAAGTTAGTAAAGGGGTTTGGGTTTAGGGTTTAGGGATAATTACAGGGGCCGAAATAATTGCCGATACTATTTTGGAGGCTCCTTATTATATATGTAGTATAATGGGCCACAAAACCCTGTGTTTTTGTGGGCTTGTTTTTATCATAAGGGTTTCATGTGGATTTAAAGGGTTTTTGTTGGGTTCTACTGTGAGGGTTTACTGCGGATTTTAGACGGGCTTTAAGCTTCTGGATTTTAGGTTTAGGGTTTAGGGTCTAGAGTGGTTTAGAGTTCTGGCTTTCGTGTTTTAGAATCTGGGCCGGTATTCCTCATGACTGCAGCCGTAAGCCATAAGCCAGAAGCCGAACGACGCAGACATCGCATCTTGCATTCGAAACCCCCAGCCAGGGAGTAGGACTGTAGGACACTGTAGGAGTCAGGAGGGAGGAGTAGGTATAGTATATTCTTAAACGCCTTAGTGTTAAACTCCAGGAAATTTGGCTGTCCCTAAACCCTAAACCCTAAACCCTAAACCCTAAACCCTAAACCCTAAACCCTAAACCCTAAACCCTAAACCCTAAACCCTAAACTAAACTTGTCGAACGAGGCCACCTCGAGACCGTTCGAGTACTCCTCGAAGCGCAAGCGGACCTGGCGCGGGTGGACCTGGATGGGAGGCGCTCCGGCCGAGATCTTCTTTACTGGGTTCTTGTTAAGGGATTTAGGATTTTTAGGGTCTAGGGTTTAGGGTTTAGGGGATTTAATTTAAGTTACCATAATATGGAAACCATATTATTTACTATAGATCCCTATTATGGTAACTTAAATTAAATCCCTTAACAAGAACCCAGTTTAGGAGGGAGTTCGGGTTAGGGGTGTGTGTGTGCGTGTGTGTTTAGGGTTTAGGGCTTGGGTGTTTGGGTTTAGGGTTTAGGGTTTGGGGTGTTTGAGTTTAGGGTGTGGGGTGTTTGGGTTTGGGTTTAGGGTTTCGGTGGTTGGGTTTAGGGTTTGGGGTGTTTGGGTTTAGGGTTTGGGGTGTTTGGGTTTAGGGTTTGGGGCGTTTGGGTTTAGGGTTTGGGGTGTTTGGGTTTAGGGTTTGGGGTTTGGGGTGTTTGGTTTTAGGGTTTGGGGTGTTTGGGGTGTTCACTGGCATTTTGCTGCCATTTCTGTTAGAGTAGAAGACGGAAAGGTTACTTAGAGTAGGATTTAGCTATGAGTCTAAGGGGCTGCTAGTGGATGGGGCTCCTAGTAGCCTAGCTAGCCGCTTACAAAGTCCTCAGACGCCAATCGCAGCCAACATCCTATGCCCTAACCCTAAACCCTAAACC